GTAGCTGAGAGGCTCACACATACCAGGATTCTATCGTAGGTCCTCAGCCGGGTGGTGGTGGTGGCTGTGGTGATGCATGCCTCTGATCCCAGCATTCAGGAGGCAGAGGTAGGTGGATCTCTGAGTTCGACACCAGCCTGGTCTACAGAGTGAGTCCAGGACATCCAAGACTACACGGAGAAACCCTGTCTTGGAGTGAGATGTCACCATTGTTCTTTGATCCAGGAACACCAAGAAGACTTGACATCCTTGCCTCCTTTTGTGGTCCCAGGAGGAAGCTCCCATTTCCAGCCCCTGGATGTGCCGTCTTGTGCAGATTCAGAGTTTGTGGGTGCTGAAGCTGGATTGGGGCACAGGCTCATCTAGACTAGCTCACATCTTTATGGGGGAAGTAGGGAGATCGGGAGTAGTGAAGGGCTCTTCCTAAAGTCACACAGAAGATAGCAGAAAGCAGACCTTGAGGGCCAGTTTAAAAGACCTTGGCTTTTAAACTCGGCAACATGTCACTTGAGAGTTAAACATGCAGTCAGGGAAACATGGCGGTCCCTCTTGGTGTGGGGACACACACTCCCCTGGGACAACCTGAGTTTTGCCTCCTGTTCTTGGAAGTGAAGGAGATGCCTTGTTCTGGATGCCAGTGGGGTACAAACTGAATAACCATCTGAGCTGTTCCTGGGTGTATAATTCTGGAAAGCAAGCACCCACAACTGAAACATCTCCTCCAGATGTTAACTCAAACACATGCCGAGCACATTCCAGAACAGTGCTTCAGCCCTTGGGAAGCACCTCCCGGTACTAAACCTCCTGCAGCCTGACACCTCTCACCTGCCCGTCCCAGGGCCCTGCAGCCCAGCTACCTTTCCACTGTGGCATTCTCTTCCCTCCCCCACTCCTGTACAATTGGTCCCAGCTGTGGGAGCTTGGCGGTCCCTCCACCCCCACAGTAATGGGAGCCAGCTGTGAGATGGTCCTCCTTGGCCATCCTTCCCAGATGCAACAGCCAATACTCAGTGAGGTGCTGGGGCTCTGCCCCGGCCTCACTCCAAGAGTCCCCCTGAGCCTCTGTTTTCTCCTTTCCTTGCAGTGCCCATCCCCTGCCCCACCCATGCATGCAAAATTCCATCGGCACTTACTGCAGTAGTTGGGGAAAACACACAAGCTGTGCTCAGAGCCTTCCGCTTACGTTAGGGTTAGCTGTCACTGCTGTGTTTACAGAATCCATCCTTCCCTTTCCTTGTTGCCCAGAACAGAATAGTACTAGGCTGGCACAGGAGCATAGAGCATCTCTAACAGCTGCCTCCCTCCTGTCCGACTAATATTAATGCTAGCCCAGGTGTGGGGCTGTTTGGTCCTGGGCTAGACAGTCAAGGAGACAAAATCCTGAACACTCCTTCCAAGAAATGGGTATGAGTGGCAGTAGGTCACCCAGTGGCATCCTCCTCCTTTTTTCCCTGCGGAACTGAATGCAGGGCTGGGATGTAGCATTCCTGAGGCTCTGGGTTCACTCAGTCTCTGGCACTGTGAGGGAAAAAGAAAGCTGAATGCAGTTGTTCTTCAGCTCAGCGTTCTGATTTGGTGAGAATTTTGTCTTTCGTCCTGTCACCCTCCTTCACCTGCCCTGTACACCTGCCATCAGCGCGGATTGGTGATGTTTCCCTGACCTTGATCTAAAGGCACAAAGTGATGCTTTTAGCAGCAGGGAGAGCCCCTTTCTCCCGAGGGAGAGACTTCAAGAAAGGAAAGGGACAACTGGACTTTTTTCTGATTTGGGGGAAAGGTCAAGTAGGTTCCTTTTTCTTTCTATGGCAATGACTGAGAAAGCACACAGGCTGTCCTCCCCATGACTCTGTCCCTCTGAGTCTCCTTCTGTCTTTCCCTCTTTCCCTCCACCCGCTTGCTCCCTGACACCCCCCTCCATATACTTGCCTTCTTGGGCTCATGGTCCCTAGTTTAAAGTTTACTTTAAACTCCTTAGGGCTCAGTGTGTTTACCTTTACAATTCAAAAGCAGGCAAACCCAAAACCAGGTATGGTGGCTCGTGCCTGTCATCCTAGAACTCTAGAAGTTGATGCAGGAGAACCCTGAGTTTGTGGTTAGCCTAAGCTGCAAGGCAGGACCCTGTTCCTAAAGAAGTACGGCATGCTGTCACTCGGATTGCTTCCAGATCTAAATCTTGGGATTCTAAGACTTTGTTTGAGTCAAAAGTGCTTAAAAGGCTGGGTGCGGCAGTACATGCCTCCAATCCCACTGCTCACCCAGTTCCAGCACTGAGCAGTGGAGCCACAGGATCAGGAGCTCCAGTTCACCCGCAGCAACCCGAGTCAGCCTAGGATCTGAGACCCTCTTATACCTGCATGTGGGGAGGATCTCTGTGAGGTCGAGGCCAGCCTGGTCTACAAAGTAAGTCCAGGCCAGCCAGGGCTACACAGAGAAACCCCTGTCTCAAAAAAAAAAAAAAAAAAAAAAAGAAAGAAAGAAAGAAAGAAAAGAAAAGAAAAGAAACTGGTAGGCTAGAAAAAGAAAACCATTAACTTGAGATTTTTTGACAGTGAAAGGGGCTGTAGCTGGACTTTGATTGGTAGATTCTTGCCCAGCACTCACAAGGCCTGAACCTCACTGATTCCCCAGAATTTGGTAAATGGGGTATAGCTACAGAAATGCATAGCTGTATACACGTACACCTGTAATCCCAGCGCTCAGAGGGTAGAAGTCCAGGTCATCCTGGGTGGCTATGTAGATGTCCAAGGACACCCTGAGCTGCACGAGATAGTCGCTCAATATGAAAGGACTTTATTCTTTGGCCATCTATGCTGGGATGGGATGGACCCTATGGCCTCATATGTAGAGATTCACTCATAATAGTTACCCAGGGCTTGACTCAGACCCTATAGCTGTTTCTTGTAGCCTCTCCTATGAGCCACGATGGCGACAAGAGATGTATACTAGTTAGAGGCAGCGATGACTTTTAAAAAATTTTTTTTCTCATATAAGTATCCATTATTTGGAGTGCCCTTTCCATCTCTTCATCTTCCCTTCCTCTCCCTTTTCTCACACGTTCCCTTCATCTCCCATCCTTTAGTGCCCTTTTCCCCCAGACACTTTTATTTCTTTTTTTCAATTATAATTTTTAATTAATTTATTTATTCACTTTACATCCCGGTCATAGCCTCCTCCCTCCTTCTTCCCCCATCCCTCCTCCCCTACTTTTCAGAAAAGTGGAGCCCCCACCAACACCAACCCACCCCAGCACACCAGTCACATCAGGACCGAGCGCATCCTCTTCCCCTGTGGGCAGGAGAGGCAGCCCAGTTAGGGGGAAGTGATCAAAAAGCAGGCAACAGAGTCCATGTCAGAGACAGTCCTGCTCCCCTTCCTAGACAACCCACATGAAGCCCAAGCTGCCCATTGGCTGCATCTGTGTAGGGGGCCAAGGTCCAGTCTATACATGGTCTTATTTCTACTTTCATATCATATATATACGTACATGATTTTATGTGTCTATATAAAATCTAGGAACCAAAAGCAAAACATATTTGTCTTCTGTAACTGGCTCAATTCTTTATTATGATTAACTACGGTTGGACCCATTTTCCTTAAAGAGACACACTTTGTTTATATGGCTGGGGTGGGGCAGTAAAGAGGTTAGAGAACTGGCTCAGTGGTTAAGAGCACTTTTTGCTCTTACAGAGGACCCAGGTTCAGTTCCCAGCATCCCATGGTAGCTTACACCTGTTCATAACTCCAGTTCCGGGGGATCTGACTCCTCTTTTCTGGCCCTTGAGAGCACCCCCTCACACACACACACACACACACACACACACACACACACACACACACACACACACATGATGCATAGGCCCATATGCACAGGCAGAAGCAGGTGGAGCTCTGTGAGTTTGAAATCAGCCTGGTCTACAAAGCAAGTCTAGGACAGCCAAGGCTACTCAGAGACCCAGTCTCGATCTAAATTTACCGCATTCTCCTTGTTCGTTCCTCTGTTTTTGGACACTGAGTTAGTTCTACAACTTAACTCTTGTAAGCAGGGCTCAGGAGACATCAAAGTGCAAAGATCCCTGCGAAAGGTTAGCTTGGAGTCCTTTGGGTGAAAGCACGGAGTGGAATAGCTGGTGAAATGGTGGCCTATTGTTAGCTTTTTGAGAAGCCTCATATTTACTCCCACAGAGTGTAACCTTTCTACCAAGAGTGTAAAATGGGTCCCCTTGTCCATATTTTTACAGCATTTGTTATTGGGTTGTTTGGGTTTTTTGATGAGTTTTTGTGTTTGTTTGGTTAGTTGGTTGGGGCTTTGTTTTGTTTTGTTTTGTGTTTTTGAGATAGGGTCTCATTTTACAGCCCTGGCTATCCCGGAACTCACTCTGTAGACCAGGCTGACCTTGAACTCAGAGCTCCACCTGCCTCTGCCTCCCTAAGTGCTGGGGTTCTAGGCATGTGCTCAGCACCTGGTTTGTTGTGTTTTTTGAGACAGAGTCTCTCATGTGCCCCGGTGTCTTAGAGCTTGCTCTGTAGACTAGGCTGGCCTGAGTCCCACAGAGATCTCTCTCTCCTGAGTGCCGAGAATAAAGATGTGCTGAGTTTTTATGTGTGTGTTAAAGTACGTGTGCATGTGCGATGTGCATGTGGTTGTCAGAGGAAAACTCTCTGGAGCCTCTCGTTTGCCTTCGCTGTGGGTTCTGGAAACCAAACGTGGGTCATCACTTTGTGAGGCAGTGCTTTCTCCATTTTTCTTTCTTGTGACTACCATTCTGACTGGGGTAAGAGGGAATCTCAGGGTAGTTTTGATTCACGTTTCTCTGTTGCTTAGTGAAGTTGGGGACTCTTTTTGGTTAGGGGTGTTGGCTATTTGTTTGTGATTATCCAAGAGCTGTTTATTCCAACCAGTGCCCCTTTGGGATGAATCCCGCCCTTTTCTCTAGCCTTTGCTGCTGACGCCCTGCCCTCACCCACACTGACCCAGCCCTTTCTCCCTGTCCCCACTCCAGCACGCTGTCCAAGTGCTGCCACGCCATGGTAGCGCTCATCTACCCCTTCAGCTGGCAGCACACCTACATACCAGTGCTGCCGCCTGCCATGATCGACATTGTGTGCTCGCCCACGCCCTTCCTCATCGGGCTGCTCTCCAGCTCGCTGCCGCTGCTCAGGGAGCTGCCACTGGAAGAGGTGAGCCCGGGAGCACTGCACCCCACTTCCTCGGGGGGCGCTGCGCAGGAACAAGAAGATACCAGGCCTTGCTCTGTGACGGGTCCTTCCCAGAGTCTGCCCTCAGCCCACCCCTTGGTGTCTGTAAGCACCTATTTTCCTTCTAAATGGAATGTCCTGTATGAGCAGCATTTAGAAGCCCTGACATCAGGCCCCATCCTCCTGCCTCCCCACACGGAGCAGAGGAAGCAGTAACTGGAATATGTGCTTGAACTGGTAACAGAGCGGTCAAGGACTTAGTGTGGCTTTTAAAAAACTAACCGCAGGCTGTGGCTAGCGGGATGGCTCAGTGTCAAGCCTGATGACCTGAGTTCTATCCCCTGAGAGAAGAACACTGACTCTTGGTAGTCCCTGTGTACCATGCACAGACCTCTAGGTCCAACCCCCAGTTCAGGAAACGGATGAAGTAATTAATGAACACTAGACTTAAAGGGGAGAAAAAGTATAACCACAGAGGTGGGTGTGAATGTCACACTCCTGCACCCCAGCACTCACCAGGCACGGCAGGAGGATTGCAGGTTTGAGGTCAACCTGGCCTACATAACAAAACACTGCAAAATAAGCCACTGCATTGTTGTAATGACACCCAGGGTTTATAGCTTTGTATACAGGTTCAGGAAGTTCTATGTGGCACCTCTGCAATTACTCAGCCCCTTGAAATAGTTTAAATAGCCCTGAGTACAGGGGACCCCAGCAGTCAGAGAAAGAAACAGGGACCAAAATCTGCTGCGCAGCCCCGAACCTGGTGAGGATGCCAGTCCATGCACCACCACCCCTTCATCCCAGAGCTGGGGATGCTGGTCCTTTGGTTGTGTGGAGGGAGGAGTTTATGCTGGTCTCTCATGGCGGAACCTATTTCCAACTGTGGCCATGCCAGCCATCCAACCCATTCTTCCTCTGTCATAGCTGACCACCTCACCTAGGGTCTGTATGAGGATCCACCCTCAGAGGCAGCACGCAAGCATGTCCTTAAGCTTTGTACGTAAGGCAGCTCACTCACGCTTGCGCTAGCCCGAATCTCAACCCGCCCTGAGGAGAAAGGTGATCCCACCAAAAACCCAACAAAGGCACAGCCTGTGGCCTGACAGTCTCCCCTAGATCCCGCCCCTCTTCCAGTCTGTCCTCTTACCTCTCTAAAAAACTGGCAGCTTCAGAGGACATCTTGGGGATAAAAAGGCAAATCCCCGATGTGGAGAGGGGCACATTAAGTAGACGTGCAGCAAGTAGGGGCCCCCGGCAGCTTTTGTCCCACCCCAGTAGCCCATGAACAAACAAAAAGAAGCAGAGAAGTCCTGCCACAGTAGAACAGGGCTAGGCATCCAGCTAGGACAGCTGCGTGTCCTGGCCTTCAGTACCAGCTTGACACCCCTCAGCCCCTCTCAGAACACAAATACACACACATTCTCCCCACTCCCAGCTGCCTCCAGTGCCAAGGAGAAAAAAAATGCCACCTCCATCTGCATCCCTCATGACAAAATTCATCCCTTTTCTTCTGTCCCATAGGTTCTTGTAGTTGACCTCATCAATGATCGGTTCCTCAGACAGGTGAGTAGAAAGCCAGTCCAGCCTGCTGCTCCTGTGTCTTCATGGCGTCCAAGGAGCTCAGCTGCAGCTCCAGAAAGGCTCTGTAGTAAGCCTGGGCCTGCTAGCTCAGCTGGGTTTCGGGACCACCTCAGGCCAAGGCTGGCCAAGGATGAGGCAGCAAAGACAGCTTGAACAAAGACTGGTTTTCACCAGTACAAGTGCAAAAAGGCTTCCACCACTTAACAGTCAGGGCACACTGGAGAGACAGCTTAGCAGTGACGAGTTCATACTGCTTGTATGAATTTGTAAAGAATTCAAGTTCATTTCCCAGCACCCATGTCAGGCAGCTCACAGCCACCTATAAGTCCAGCTTCAAAGGAATTCAACAGCTCTGGCCTCCTCAGGCACTCACATGCACAGATCCACCCATGGACATAACATGTAGTTTATAAAAGAATTCTTAACTTTTTAAAAAGGGCGCAGGATGGGCTGGAGAGATGGCTCAGAGGTTAAGAGCACTGGCTGTTCTTAAAGACTACAGGTCCTGAGTTCAATTCCCAGCAACCACATAATGGTTCATAACCATCTATAGTGAGATGGGGTGCCCTCTTCTGGCATGTAGGCTTATATGCAGGCAAATACTGTATAAGTACATACATACATGCACAAATAGGGGGCCCCGGAGAGCTAACTCAGCAGGTAAGAACACTTGCTGCTGCAGAGGACCAGGGCTCAGTCATAAACTTAAAATAATAATGTTTTAATTAAAAAAAAAAAAAAAAAGAACCAGGACACATCTGTGCCTGCTGATATCTTCCTGCAGTCCTTGTACTTGGAAGGGGGAGGCAGGAAGATTGCCTTAAATTTAAAGCCATCTGGGCCACACAGTGGGATAGTGATAGCCTGGGTTTTAGAGACCTTCAGAAAAAAAAGACTCATAAAGGAATGAAGACTCAAAATTATGTACATTATTTTGCTGGGGGTTTTTTTTTCCATTTTTTTTTTTCTGTTTGTTTTTTTCTGTTTGTGCTGGCAATAGAGCCCAGGGTTTGTACATGCTAGAAAAGAAACTCATTCGCCAGCCTGATTCTCATTTTTTTTCTAAGAAAGAGAAAAGAAGCAAGTAGAAAGAAAATTATATGTTTGCATCTTTAAAAGATTGACAGGAGCCAGAAGAGGTGGCACACGCCTTTAATTCCAGCACTTGGGAAGCAGAGGCAGGTTGTTCTCTGTGAGTTCAAGGCCAGCCTGGTCTACATAGTGAGTTCAGGTTAGTTACGGCTACATTTCGACACCTTATCCTTCCAAAATCAGATTGATGGGAAAACCTGCCAGAGTGTTAGCGTCTGTCTCAGGAGGGAGCCTGGAAACAGATGGAATGGTTTTAAATTGTTTGCATACATTCGTGACGGTGCTGGCGGTGGTCCCTGGTGGTGGTGGTGGTGGTGGTACTAGTTGTGGTTTTGTTGTTTAGACTTTGCCTTTCGAGCCAGGCTGTCACTATCTAGCCCAGGCTGGCCTGACCAGGGGATTAAGCTCCACGTTCAAATTCCTGGAATTACAGACACTGTGCCCAGAACTTTGGTCTTTTTTCTGGACTGATCATAAAGTATTTTCCTTGTAAGAGAAGCTAATACACAGTTTTTTCGGCTGAGTGGTTCTGTTGCCCGGCACCACCAGCTCAGTCTGCTGTCTCTTCCCCTCGCAGGCCAGGTCTCTCCACGAGCGCTGGCTGCCCAGGGTGAGAGCAGCAAGCAGCAGCTGCTGCTATGCACTGAGCACACTCACAGAGAGCTGCACGGACTTCAGTCTCCAAGACCTGGCCAGTACTGACCAGCCGCCCATCTTACAAATGAAAACATAGAGGCTCTCACAATTTGTTTTGTTTGTTTGGTTGGTTTTGGTTTTTCTGTGTAGCCCTGGTCACTTTGTAGACCAGGCTGGCCTCGAACTCACAGAGCTCTGCCTGCCTCTGCCTCCCTGCATGCTGGAATTAAAGGTGTACACCACCACTCCTTGCTGGCTCTCACAACTTGTAAGCTAAAATGGAGACTTAAACCTCCAATCTGTGACTCTTCTACTACACTAGGAGCTGAGGGCAGGGAACATGGCTCAGTGGATAAAGGCTCTTACTACAGAGCCTGATTACCTGAGTTCAATCCTCAGAACCCACATGGTAGAACAAGAGTAATAATACACATCCATACACACACAGTAAGTAACTGAGTACTTAAGAAAAAAAAAAAAAAACTGCTGGGTGGTGGTGGTGGCGGCGGTGGCGGCGGCGGCGGCGGCGGCGGCGCATGCCTTTAATCCCAGCATCGGGGAGTCAAGGCAGGTGATGGATCCCTGAGTTCAAGGCCAGCCTGGTTTACAGACCACGTTCCAGGACAGCTAGGGCTACATAAAGAAATCCTGTCTTGAAAACAAACAAAACGGGCTGGAGAGATGGCTCAGCAGTTACGAGCACTGTCTGCTCTTTCAAAGGACCTAGGTTCAATTCCCAGCACCCACATGGCAGCTCACAACTGTCTGTAACGCCCATTGCAAAGGATCTGACACCTTCACGCTAATGCACATAAAATAAAGATAAATAAATAAATATTTCACAAAACTCAAAAAAAAAGAAAAGAAAAAGAACAGAAACAAAACAAAAAGCCAGGCACAGTGGTATACACCTTGGATCCCAGCATTCTCAGCACTCAGGAGGCAGAGGAAGGGGGATCACTATGAGTTTGAGGCCAGCCTGGTTTACATAGTGAGTCCCAGGCCAGCCGGCCAGGGCTATACAGTGAAACCTTGTCACAAAAACAAGTTAAACTATGAGCTGGGCTGCCTGCCCAGGGATGTGGTTGGCACAGGGCTAGCCAGGTGTAGCTGCGCCCACCCGTGTCTCCTGCCTTACAGATGGAGGACGAGGATTCCATTCTGCCGAGGAAGCTTCAAGTGGCCCTGGAACACATCCTGGAGCAGAGGAATGACCTAGCCTATGACCAGGATGGAGGCCCCCTCGACTGTGTGCATGGTAAATGCCAGCGCCTTGGGACAACTGGCCAATGGTGAAGTGAGAAAGTAGGGGCGTTAGGAGAGGAAGTGGGTTTCACCCCTCCATCTGGGTTTCATTCCAAGGGTAATTGTAGGAATTTTTTCCCACTTCCTCCATTTTCCTAAAATACTTGTAAAGGGAGGAAAGACAGCCTTGAGAGCCCTTTCTCTTGGGTGGTCACAGGTCGCTGTTGAGGGAAGTAGCCGTTGCTGTTATCACTGACTATCCTGGGCTCCAGTCCACCAACCCCCCTCGCTGTCACGTCCTTGTGCCCTTTGCTCAGGCCCTGAGTCCAGCCCCTTGAATGAGGTGGTGTCCGAAGCCTTCGTCCGCTTCTTTGTGGAGATTGTGGGCCACTACTCCTTGTTCCTGACCTCAGGCGAGGAGAGGAGCCTGCAGCGAGAAGCCTTCAGAAAAGCTGTCTCCTCTAAAAGCCTGCGACGCTTCCTGGAGGTCTTCATGGAGACCCAGACTTTCCGTGGCTTCATGCAGGAGAGGGAACTGCGCAGGCAGGATGTCAAAGGTTAGACCAGCTCACTGTGAGTGCACTCCTACTTGCTGGGGCGGTGAGGTAGAGGTGTGTAAAGTGGCTGAGGAGCCAAGGGACAGTCACAGACAAGGATGCGGGCAAGAACAGTATTCTGGCTTCCACGGGAGCTGCAATCAGGCCACCCCTGACCAGTGAACATGACCGACCTCTGCTTCTCACAAGTTTCCCCTGTTCTTGTTTCTCTGTAGCCCCTCCTCCTCTTCTTCAAGCCCCTCTGCGCTTCCCTAGTGCCCTTCTTCCTGGCCCCTGCCCAGGGACTGTGGAGGGGATGAAATTCGGGAGAGCATGGTCTGGGCCTGCAGCCCTAGGCCAGCACTGCATAATCTGAGAGCTTGCTTTGGTTACCAGCTCCTGCAGCCCTTTTCACTCTGCTCTGAAGTCTCTTCTCTTACTTCTCCCTGTCCCTGTCTGCATAGGCTCCATCATGTTTCTAGGGAGAAGGGGAACAAGGAATGTGAAATGATGGAGACACCATCCCAGCCTATTTTGTCCATTGTCTTGGCTGTTCTGGGAATCTAAAATCTAGGAATGCTGGGAAAGGCGTTTTTGGATGGGAGCTAAACCTGGGTAGGGAAGGCACTTAACCTCTGCAGCATGGCTATACAGAGGCCAGGAGGTTCCAGAGGAGCAGCTAGGCCTGGGCTGGGATTTCTCCAGTGCTGTGAACTCAGCTGGAAGTCCTGCATTCCCACAGCCATTTACATAGGAAAGACAAGAGGAGAGAAATTTGATCAGAGGGTGTGAGAAGAGGCTGAGCCTCATTCGGGGGGGTTCCCTCCAGGGGAAAAACTGGCAGGTGTGTTTAGCCAGGTTTACAGGTCATTATTGGTAAGAAAGGTAGCAGAAATGAAATGGGATGTCATGTGTGAGCAGGCTTTACAGCTTTCCACAGACAGCTATTATACAAGGTGGGGCAATTATAAGGACAGTAAAAACCCTTATAAACCTCATGCTTTGAAAGCGTGTTTATAGGCACAGCTGTGTCTCAGAAGCAGGGCCCCGCTTTCCTGTCCTGGCAGGGAAGGAAGTTTGTGCAGAAGCGCAGAGGCAAGGCTCTAAAATGTCCCGGTCTCTCTCCTCACCAGGCCTGTTTGAAGTCCGAGCCCAGGAGTACCTGGAAACCTTGCCCAGTGGAGAGCACAGTGGTGTCAATAAGTTCCTCAAGGGACTGGGTAAGGCCTGGGCCCCTGTCCCCAGCCTCAGCTCTAAACTGCCTTCCCAGGAATCCTAACCACTTCAGTCCGCAGAGCCCGGAACACTTGGGAACGCAGGAAGCTGCCAGTAGACTGACTGCTTCTCCTAATCTGTCCCTTGGCCCTACAGCTACCTCACTGTAACTTCTTGCCACCTTCTCCTGCATTCCTAAATCTTCTGGGAACCGTACAGAGAACCAGGCGGGGAGTAATACAAGCAGGACTCCACCCAGCATCAGAACACCCCTGGGTAGAAAAGTAAGAAGCATCAGGACTACAGTTTAATCAGCAAAAAAGATCCTTATAAGAAAAAGAGAAAGCAGGGCCAGAGGCAGGCGGATCTCCCTTGAGTTTCGAGGCCAGCCTTGTCTACACACAGAGTGAGTTCCAGGACAGCCAGGGCTACACATAGAAACCATGTCTTGAAAAGAAAAAGAAAGAAAGAGAGAGAGAGGGAGGGAGGGAGGGAAGAAGGAAGGAGAAGGAAGAAAGAAAAAGAAAGAGAAAGGAAAGAAAGAAAGAAAGAAAGAAAGAAAGAAAGAAAGAAAGAAAGAAAGAAAGAGAGAAAGAGAGAGAGATGATGCAGACCTCTCTGTCTCAAAGAAACAGAGGGGTGCGGTGCACAGTTGGCAGTAGTGTGTGCCTGCATCCCAGCATTTGGGAGGCGAAGGCAGGTAGCGCAGGAGTTAAGTGAGTTAAGCCAGCAAGATGACTCAGCAGGTAAAGGCACTTGCCACTCAAGCCTGAAGGCCTAAGTCTGATACCTAGAACCCACACAGAGGTTGGAGGAGGGAAATGACTCCACACAGTTGTTCTTTGACCTCCCCATGTGTCCCTCCCCTCTCACTTTCTTTTTCAGGCAATAAGATGAAATTTCTCCACAAGAAATAACCCTCCTCTTGGCTCCAGGGAAGAGTTCTGCTAGAGTTCTGAGAGGCTGAGGGCTGACCCCAGGGCCCAGCTCCTTCCACAGTGTAGCCTGTGAGCTGGGGAGGTGCAGATGCTCAGGACAGCCCTGGAAGGGACCCACCAACGTGCAAACTGTGTTACTGTGGTTGGTTCTGGGACCTTTAGATCCTAGATATTAAAAGAAAAGAAGAAAAGTGTTCGAGTCTTCATTCGTCTCTCCTGCCCCATCCCATCTTTTCTGGGTCAGCTGCTGACAGCTCCGGGCCAGAAGGGAAGAGATAGGAGAGTTGCGATCTCAAAGACAGGAGGCTGCTCCTGCCACTGGCTCTTCCAGACTGGTCTATGACGCCACCTGGTGGCAGAGACTATGGACTTCACTTCTCTTGACTTTTTTTTTTTCTCTTGGAAGCCATAGAAAACTATTTATGCCTGAACAGCCTGTGGCTTTTAGAGGGACACATAAAAAGAGGAAATCTTGTTAACTGGTAATAAAATGTACTAGGGTCCTGAAGTTTCTATTTTCTGTGGCCCAACCATGACACTGAGGCAACTGCTATGAACCCATTCCTCTTAATGAGACCGAGGCCCATTAAGAGTCTGCAGGCGTCCTGTGAGCGGCACAGGAGGTGACCAGGCTGGCCTCGGGGCTACCACCCCTGTACTTCTGGGCCCCCAGCGAATGTCACTGCTAGCTATCCCTGAATCTCCACTCCCACCTGGAGTGGGGCGGGATTAACAGGTGTGTGTGTGTCTGGGGCGTTGGAAGAAGCCTGAGTAAGAATGTGAATGAGCACGGGGCTCAGGAATCCATAGCACACGGGCTCCTCAGTTTAGTTGACTTTACTGATAGCAATATTCTGTGTATTTTTATATTGCCCCTAAGTGATCACTTGTAGTATTTTGGAATATACATTCTTTTCTAACTTATTTTCTATTATACTGTTTTACTTTAAGAACTCCAAGCAAATAAATAAATAAATATATATCTTTATCAACATTCCTAGTGCTTAGATGATACCCTATTTTATGGATGTTTTTGTATTTGACTTTATCAAAAACTAAAATAAAATTGTGAAACTGTGCTAGGCTATGTGTATAAAGAAGCCTTTTTCTTTTATATATATATATATAAAAGAAAATATATATATATATATTATATATATATATATATATATATATATAATGTGCATTGCTGTTTTGCTTACATGTGTGTCTGTGTGAGGGAGTCAGATCCCCTGGAATTGGAATTACAGACAGTTGTGAGCTGCCATGTGGGTGCTGGGAATTGAACCCTGGTCCTCTGGAAGAGCAGCCAGTGCTCTTAACTGCTGAACCATCTCTCCAGCCTGAAAATACAGACTTTTTTTTTTTCTTTCAGTTTTTTGAGACAGGGTTTCTCTTTGTAGCCCTGGCTGTCCTGGAACGCGCGCTCTGTAGACCAGACTGGCCTAGAACTCACAGAGATCTGCCTACCTCTCCCTCCTGAGTGCTGCGGTAAATGTGCCGCCGCCACTGAAGACGCTTTGTTCAGTGATCTTCGAATTAAAAGGTGGAGACAGCTGCATGCGCCAAGAAGAAAGGTTGGGCCAGTGAGCCGGATCAGCAGGTGAGGCTTCCCAGCCTGGCAACCCGAGGTCAGTCACTAGAAGCCGTGTGAAGATGAAAGAGAGAACCAGGTCCGCAGCGTTGTCTGCAGGCGCACATGTGTGCTGTGGCGGGCGGGCCCCTATGCACACACAGCACACAGTATTGTTCCAATGCTTTAAAGGACTGGCGAGTTCACCTCGAACATTCATAAAATAAAAATGCCAAGATGCTTTGTCCTGTTAACACACTTGCCACCACCGAACCTGAGAAGCTGAGTTCAATCTCTAGACCCACATGGCAGGTCCCACAAGGTGACCTTTGACCTCTACACGTGTCATTTGTGCTGTGTGCTGGTATACACATGCAATCACAATAAATAAGAAATATGTATATTATTATATTACATGTATATTTAATCATGCTAGTAGAAAGCACACGTGCAGGTCATGAGAATAGTCTGAGCCAGTGGCCAAAGGAACAAACGACCATGACGTCATTCATTTATTGAAACGTGAATGCCCTCTTCTGTCTCTTGTCCATCACTTTTGCATCATGCTTGCTTTTAAAGAGCATCAACTCACAAATTACTCATAGCATGCAAAGCAGTAGATCAGACCAACAACCAAGAAGCACTGGAGCAAGAGAAGTATTTTGGCAATGAGTAGTCACAGTCTGAGGCAGATTCTGTCTTCTTGAGTGTTTGTTTTGATGGAGGGGGTGACATTGTCTCCATAGATAGTGTAGGCTGACCTTGAACTTGGAAAAATTCTTCTGCCTGAACCTCCAAAGTACGGTGGGCACAGGCGTGCATCGGCACACAGGACCATGGGGCGGGTTCGGGATGAAGGGTGCTCTCCATTGAGAAAGCACTGCTCGGAGTAGATGATGTCACAGCCGCCTGGTCGGTAGCTGCTGGTACTTGCACTCATGTACACAAACACACATACATGGATAAGTAATAAAGTATAATGAAAAGTAAGGTGGAGCCTAGTGAGCTACTGCAGTGAGTAAGGTGCCAGGGCCAGGCCTAACGGCCCGAGTGCAGTCCTCAGGCCCACAGTACAAAGAGATCACGGACTCCTACAAATTGTCCTCTGACTTCCACAAACAGCCCACAGTACACACACATAACATATATACAAATAACTAAACATACCTACACGTGCACACATGTAAAACAAAAGAAGTCACCAAACAGAGGAGCTGGAGGGATGGCTCGGTGATTAAGAGCAGCTGCTGCTCTTGCAGAGGACCAGAGTTCAACTACTATTACTACGCAATCGGGTTGTTCACAACTGCCCACACCTCCAGCTCCAGGGGGTCAATTCCCCCTTCTGCCCTCCACAGGCATCTGCAAGCACGTGGGCATGTACACACACACACACACACACACACACACACACACTTTTTTTTAAATGCTTGAAAAAAAGAGAACATATATAGCCATAAAACCAATAAATGAACAGCATTCCTCCTCAAAGGGAGGGACCTCTGTTGCCGGAAACAGCTTTGTTTTTACATGGGTATCCGAGCAGCATGCTAAACGAGCCCTTTATGGTGCTCAGAGACCACAGGAAGAATGCCAGGGGCCTGGTGAGGCCAGGGCTAAGGGTGGCAGTGGCTCAGGGATGTGGCATGTCCCCCTGCCCTCTGCTCTTTGTTTCTGAGCCCCAAGCCAGTATCTGGTAACCCTGCTCACTCCGGAAGCCTTAGCATTCTCTGTCCCGTTTCCTTACTTGATTACAGTGAAAGTCACAAAACAAAATTAGGCATTTTAAAACATAAATAATTCAGGGGCATGCAGTATATCCACACATTTGCATACTTCTTCTCTCCCCCAAGACAGAATCCATTCTGCAGTGGCCCCTGCTATGTAGACTAAGGTGGGTTAGTGGGGCCACTTCAAGCCTGATCAGAAGCAGGAACAGGAAAACGGGAAGCACCTGTCAAGGCCAATGAATTGTGTCCCTCCCAAGACTCTCTAGTGACCACACCTTAGCCGCACCCAGGCCCTGAGTGGAGTTCAGCTGCCAACGTCTGCTACACTTAGGTGGCCTAGTGCCAGCTTCCTTGATGAAGATCAGTCCTGTGCCCCTTACCTGCCCCTATTACTCTCCTTTTCCTAACCAACCCCAGCACAATTCTGTGAGGACAGAATTGAGTTCTACAACCCAACTCACAGCCAGCAGTCCCTTCCAAGCAGGGCGAATTCCATTAGCCCCTGGGCAGAGTCTAGACTAGATTGTTCTGGCAGAGAACACAGATTTCACACACACACACACACACACACACACACACACACACACCCCTAGCCTAGGGCCCTGGCCAGTCGATGACAGTTGTGAAAATACTTGAGCTGGGTGGGTGTGGCAGGACCGTGTTCACAAGCTAGCCAAAAGCTCAGCAGGGCAGTAAAAGCTTGACCACCCTGTAACCAGGATGGCACCTGGAGCCAGGAGCCCTGATTCCAGGCTGCTCTCCACCCTACCCTCTCTGTGCCTCCTCAGCCTAGGGGAAAACTCCAGACAGACCAGAGATGGTGTAGCAGTCTAAGGAAGCCAGCAGAGGGCATCAGAGTCCCCGGAACTGGATTACAGATGGTGGTAAACTGTCATGTGGGTGGTTAGGAACAAAATCCAGGTCCTCTGCAAAAGCAGCCAGTACTCTGCGCCACTGAGTCATCTCTCCAGCCCCTCTGCTGATAGTTTTGTCAGTAATTTCCTCAGCAAATCCAACTCAGCACTCTAATGTCAGGAGTGCTGTCAGAAATCTAAGGAAATTATCGCTACCTTGCCAGGAGAGCAGACCTTATAAAGAGAGACATTCCCGGTGCCCTCAACCCCGCTGCTATCAAAGCTAAAACAATGATCCTCTCAGAATTAACAGGTTCCCAGGAAAGCCTGCTAGGGGAAGGAAAAGGCTAAAACCCTTGCTGTTTTGTTAATTCCTCTAAATGGAACCATGCCCTCCTGGAGAAGATTCCTTAAGACTCAAGAAGCAAACACAGCACAAGGTAGCAAACACCCACAATCCCAGCTCTCAGGGAGGCACAAGCAAGTGGATCTGTGTGTGTTTGTGGCCAGCCTGGTCTACAGCCAAGGCTACACAGAGAAACCCTGTCTCAAAGGGAAAAAAGAAAAGACTCAAGAAGCAAACTAAATTTACAAACCTCAGGAAGTTCCTGAAATGTACAGGTCTCAAGCCTCTCCATCACCCTCTAAGGTTATACAAGCAATAACTCCAAGCAAAAGAGATTCTCCAGTCAGCTGAGCTACCTACAAGTCAGGTAGGGAGCCTCAGGTTTGCAGCTTTGGTGAGTCATCAGCTTATGAGGGTGGTGGGGTGGTCTTTTTAGTGACGCAACTTTGAGTCATCCATGTTTCTATAAGTAACCCTTCACCCACGGCTCTATAAGTAAGCCCTCACCCACGCTGCCAAGACTCACTAAGCTAGACTTGGGTAAAAAGGTTCCTTTGGCATGTTTTTTGTGCTGTATCTGAGATAACAGATATCTGTTCACAGTACTCCAGAAAAAGTTACACAACGCCTGAGTCCTGCAAGAGGAGAAATGTGCCTGGCCGGGAGAGTAGTCACACAGTTTAGACAGCTT